ATCCCTAAGCCTGGGGCTGCCATGGCCCCCATGGAGGCTGTGGTAGGAGGACCGGACCACCCACCCACCCTTCTGAAGCGAGGGTTTCTCCCACTTGTTTTCCTGATCTCTCCAGTGCTGGAAAAGTCATTTACTGCCTGCATGACCAGCAAAACCCTCTCTTTTCAGCTGCCAGCTCTGTCCTGAGCCCCCTTTGGATAGAGCTCATGGTAGTGCTGAGCTCCAGAATGAAAAATACCCATTGGGGTGAGATGGTGTCTGTGTGTCCATCCAGCTCTCCTGTAGCTGGGCTTCACCCTCGTTCCTTTGGCTTTGGGGGTTGCATTAATTCAAGTTATGGTCACTGTATATGTGTTCCTATGAGTATACAGATGTGTATGGGTACCCCATGGGTCCAGCCATGCTGTGCATCTTGGCTTTGTGTCCCTCAGGGTTTCTCTGGGGGCAAAGCCGTCCCCTGCCCTCTTTGCCGAGGTCTCTGGCTCTGTGTAAGGCTGAGGGTCTTGCTGGGCTGCTCAGCTTCGCTTCCAGGCACCCAGGAGAGGGTTAACATGAGTGTTTCTGTATTTTTCCCTTCTCCAACTTGGTAGCAAGGCAGAACGTGGGGATCTCTGCTCTCTGCTTGGGTCCCAGCCTCCAAGGCTGGCTGGAGGAGCAGGCAGATTGCCGTTTGGCAGCAAACCCCGCCGGCGGTCGCCAATTCTGCGCCGCTTCAGCTACGGCCGAGCTCAGACAGCTTCTGCGCCCCCCTTCCCCGGAGACACGATAACTTTCTGTGTAATCTCTGCTGGCGACAGCAGCGCGGAGCCGTCCCATCCCGCTCCCCCCGCACCTGGCTCCTGCCAAGCTCCTGCAAAGGGGCCGGGTGCTGGGCTGGCAGCACCCAAGGCTGGGGTTGGGGTGTCCATAACCAGGGGATGGGCAGCTCCAAGGTCCTCCTGCAGTGTGGGTGCATTTGCAGCATGAGGACACCCCAAAGTGACAGCAAGCACCGGTTTGGTGGCCACCAGGAGGGTTTTGCCAGCCACAAACCCTCTCCTGCATCCCGCATGCGTGCAAGGCAACAGTTGGGTATTCTCTTCCTTTTTCCCAGTGCTGTTTCTCGTGCAGGAGGCCAAGAGGTGCAAGATGGCTTGAAGCCACCTTTCAGCATCATTGGGACACCCCATCTTGGTCCCAGCTCTCTAGGACACAAGGGACCCAAACCGGGTGCTTGTGTGGGCGCAGGCATCGGGAATTTTCAGCCAGCAGAAGCTCACGCTTCTGGCAGGTTCAGGATCAAAGAAGGAATCAGCTCGGATCAGATACCATCGGACATCAAGGAGTGGGAAAAAGTGATGCTGCTGGGCCTGCTGGTTTTTGGGGAAGGGTGAAAGCGAGGAGTGAAGAGCTGGTGGACCCGAAATGTTAATTCCTTCCAGCTGCTGTCAGTCTGGCAGGTTCTCAAAGGAAGTTTAATAGACTGCAGTCGGCTCCCCTCGGCCCGTCCCCCCATCGTTGTGCAGAGACAGCCCGGCAGAACCTGGGATTACATGAGCTGCTGTCTTCCAAAGACATAGCTTTATTTTCTTTTTTCCCCTTGGCTCTGTGTTTCCTTGTGTGTGTGTGTATGTGTGTGAATGCACGCACGTGTGCGATGCCTTTCCCTCACCCACCCCTAAAATCAAACCTGCCCTGTGGGTTGCAGTGAATTAGAAGGGACTGGAGGGGTTGCATGGGGAAGGAGTGGGGATTGCATTGGCAGTGAGGAGGAGGAGGAGGAGGAGGAGGGACGGCTTCATGGGCCTCCTTGCTGGAGCACTCCCCAGTCCGCCGTGTGAACTGGGAGCAAACAGGATGAAGAAAGCATCTGGAGTGGAAAATAATAAAAAAATCCTCTCTCTCTCGCTTTATTGATTGTGATTGTGGACAGAAATAGCTCGGGCTGTCGAAAGCAGCTCCCTCACCGATGGAGCAGCACCGCGGCCAAACCATTTGGATGTGGGGCTCATCCCATCAGCATCCTCCAGCCGCACACAGAGAAACTGGGTGCCCAGAAACCCCATGGCATTGGGGTGAGCTGGCCCTGAAGCAAAAGGTTTCTCACCTGCCCATACCGCTTCTCCTGCACAATATTCACTAAACGGCTTCGAAACCAGTAATAACAGAGCAATGCTGGCCATTTTAATGAATTTTAGCCTGTTTCACTGAATTGTTTCACTTAAGACAGCAAAGGGGCTGGGGAAGGAGGCAACGAGCTCAGGGTGCCCAGCAAAGCCCAGGCTGCGGGGCCAGCATCCGCGTGGGCACGTGACGGCTCCCGGCTCGCACAGACCCGTAAAAAACCGAGTGCTGGCAGGAGAATAATTAGTTAAAACCCAGCACATCTGTTGTTAATTAATTCCTAGGCAGGAGGGTTTAACTCTTGCCTTCCTCCATGGTTTGCAAGGTGGACGGACAGCATCAGCTTGCGGCCAGAGCAAGGCTTGAACTTTGCTTTTTGAGTCCTTTCCAGGGACTTGAGTTGCTCTGGTTCATCATTCCCTGTCCTGGTTCATCATTCCCTGCCTTGGTTCATCGTTCCCACATCCCAGAACCATCCCTGTGACTCTTCAGGAGCACCTGGGACTCTGCAGGGCTGAGCTGTGCTTTTGGGTAGCCGTGTGCTGGCAATGGCTATTTTATTTGCATTTTTCGAAGGCAGCCGTCACTAGAGTACATCTGTAGGCGTGAATCTCACATACATCCAGCAGTACATCACGCTCCTCTGCGGAGAGCCCAGCTCTGCTCCCCACCTCCCTGCTCTGCCTTGCCCATGAGTTTCATGCCACTGTGGGTAGACCTGGTCTCCCGGGAGCAGCGTTAAAGGGGCATTTGATGCTGGGGAGAAGGCGAGGTGGGTGCTTGGGGTGCGTGTGATCCTGTTTCCCATGCTGGGACACAAGCACGCATGGCCCGGCCAGCCCACGGGGCCCTCCTGCACTGGGGGAATCTGTTCCCCATTAAGCGACTCCAGCAGCGCTGGTTGCTGCGGCTGGTGGGGAGAGCGGCCCTGCCAGCTTCAACCTCCCTAATTAGCACCGCGAGTGAGGCCAGGCTGGGGAAGGCCAGTGCCTCCGTCCCTCCTTGCCAAGGATGCAAATGGTTTGGAGCAGAGCCGCAGCCAGAGCCTGTGGAAAAGCTCCCACTGCCCCTGCAAGCACTGGATGAGGCCTCAGTCCCATTCGCCCCAGGGTGGGCAGAGATGTGGATCCCCTCCTGGATTCCCAGCTCTGGGGCTCAGCCCGGGCAGTGTGAGGGCTAAAAGCCTCAATTCGAGCCCTCTCTGCCATGCACAGGGTGGAGGAAGGCTGCCTGCGCCATCCTCTTCCCCTCCGTGCACTTGCACCGCGCCGGGCTCCAACCGCCCTTTTGCTCACCACTAAAAATAGGTTTCACGGCTGAGCAGCCGCGTCGGAGGGCAGGGAGCCCAGCTCCCAAACCAGCCTGTGTCACTGTGACCAACTGACCCATTTGGCCTCGGTTTTTTTAAGTATTTTTCCCTCCTCGTTCAACTTTAGCCCAGGCAGCAGCCTCGCCACGATGGCCAAGCCCCCTGAGGTGCTGCAAGATTCGGGGTGGGTGGGGAACGGTCCATGACTTGCATGGCACGGCAGGATCGGTGGTTCCATGGCATGGCTGGGATGCAGCCGCAGGAGTGCCCAAGCCCCCCCCAAATTCAGAGGGCAGCCAGCTCCTACAGCCTCACGCCAACCCTGGGGCAGCTTCTGCCCATCCCAGTCCTGCAACCGGGAATTTGCATCATTTATTTTCTCTTCTAGGGAAGAAAATGCAGCACACTGGGACCTGTTCCCTGGAGTCCTCTCGCATGTTCCCTCCTGGCACAAGGACCAAAGCAGGAGAACCCTGGGGGTGTCCCCAAGCTGTCCCATGTCCCCAAGCTCTGCAGCCCCCATGCCAGTGATGGGGAACGCTAGAGCTGTCCCCTGGCAGTGCCCTGCGGAGCGCAGGACGCGGCAGCCGTCGGTCAGAAATGAAGAAAGACCTTTATTTACAGTAACAAACAAAAAGGGACCAAAAATATAATAAAATACTGTGACGCTTCCCTCCCCTTCTCCCTAGTCCTCCAACGGGGGCGTTTTCCACCCTCACCCAGCCACAAGCCTCATCCCTGGGCTGCAGGATGGGGCCAACAACTGCTGGGGGTCATTTGGCATCAAGGAAGCCCCCCCAGGGATGTGTTGGGGTCAAGAACAGCTCGGCATGGCTCTGCGCTCTCCCCATCCCCAGCTGCGACCCCGCTGCAGGGATCGGCGAAGGAAAACCACCTTCAGGCCGGTGACACGGGGCGGGAGCAGGCTGTGAGTATTGCACTTGGCTGCTGATCCCAGCACCGAGGAGGGATGGGGGCTGGCAGGAGGCGTCCCACAGCACCCAAACCCCCAGCCTGGCTGAAGGCTTCAGCATCTCCCCATGCCCGGCAGCACCCAGCCTTGGAGGTGCCCTTGGCGGGGAGGATGCTCAGTGCCACCCCCTGTGTAAACCAGAGCCATGCAGCGTCCTGGGGCGGTGCTGGGGGTGGCAGAGGCTGCCCCAAACACTGAGATCCTGGGGTGGCAGAGGCTGTTCCCAATCCCAGAACCTTGGGGGATGGCAGAGGCTGTCCCCAGCACCAGGACCCTGGGGGGTGGCAGAGGCTGTCCCCAACACCAGGACCCTGGGGTGGCACCTGTGGGTGGATGCTCCTGCTCTCGGCTCAGGTGGCAGGAGGCTCCCGCGATCCCGGTGCGGGGAAGAGGTAGAGCGTGCCGGGATGCCGGGATCCCCTGCAGCCCTACGGACTCACCCTTCCCCAGGCAGGATCTGAGCACGGCTCCGAGGATGAGATTTGCAACGGGGGGATATCGCTCTCCTCCTCCTCCTCCTCAGTCTTTTGGTGTTTCACACCTGGGTGTCCCCACCACCGGGCTTGGGGACATGAGGACACCCTCCTGGTCCCTCCCCTCACCGAGTGCAGCTCCTCAGGAGGAGAAGCAGAGCCCGCAGCACTCCATGCAGATCTCCAGGCAGTCGGCGGACTCGCAGCAGGCGTCGATGATGCCGCAGTCCATGTCGCAGGGCAGGTCGCAGTCCGCACACTCCCCCGAGTTGCAGCAGCAGCAGCAGATGCAGGAGTCCTCAGAGGTGCAGGAGCCGCAGGTGGCGCAGTCCAGCACGATGTTGCAGAGGGTCAGGAACTCGCAGAAGAGGCAGGAGAGGATGCAGTGGACGCAGCAATCTGCGGAGGAACCAGAGAAATGGGCAGGGGGGACAGGAGTGGCTGCGGGAGACAGCACCCGGCGCAGGGATGCTCAGCCCCGGAGGGGTGGAAATCCTCCCTTGGGAATTAATGGAAGGGATGGGAAGAGGGGCTGGGAGCCAGGCACTGCTCCCTCAATGCCCAGGGACATGCCCAGTCCCCAAGAGAGACCAATTTTGGGGGACAGGAGATGACCTAGCTCAGCACTCACCCTACAGGAGGGGAGCACCCAGATCTGGGCATCCCAGGCTGGAAGGATGCTACATGAGAGACCCCAAGGGATGCGGGGTTGGCTGGAAAGGGACCCCCCCTGGGAGAGCCATACCTTCTTGTGCCTCAATGGGTATGTGGGAAGAGGCCGACTTGGAGCTGCCCTTGCTCTTCTTGCTGCTCTGGCTGTTGATGGAGTGATGCGCTTTCGGTGGGGCTTCTGAGTGCGGGGGAGGGGGCGGAAGACCCCATTCCCCGCCTCCCCATTGGCACCGCCTGGGTCTGGCCCCCGCCCGGCGCCGTTCTGCAGCAGATGGGTGCAGGGGCTGGGGGGCTGCGGGGCTCCTCGCACCTGGGGCTGGCCTGGGGAGGGGAGGAGAGCAGCGCGTTACCCCCCTGAGCCCCCCTGCAGTGGGGGAGAAACCCCTGCTCCATCCCCTGCCACTGCACGGGACCCTGGTCCTCAGCTGGACACGGGGTGGCCTCATGGGGTGATGCTGAGAGACGCATGGTCCAAGAGGATGGAGATGGAGATGGAAAAGGAGATGCAGAAGAGATGGTTGGAAGGAAGGAGACAGGCTCCCGAGAGAGGAAGGGATGAAAAAAGAGCAAGAAATAAAGATTTGTCACAAAGGACGTGCTGCAACTGCCAAAACTCAGCAGAGGACCTGGAGGAGGAGGTTCCCTGGGGTCCCAGCACTGCTGGCATGGGCAGAAGGGACAAAACCACTGGGGACAACCAGAATGGGTGCAGTCACACAGCGAGGCACCAAGCTGGGGAGAGAAGAGCCTGTGGCTGCTTCCAGCCCAGAGCCACCATCCTCATCATGCAGCAGAGCTCCAGGCCATCCCCAACACCTCCATAAACCCAGAGCTGGGCTGCCCATCTCCCCAGGACGGCGCAAATCGGCCGCTCAATTAAAAGGCTCCCCAGCCTCTGGCTGAACTCTCCTGCAGGAGGAGGAAAATAAAGATCAGCTCTGTCTGCGCCTCCCTCCAGCCCTCGCACACTGCAGCCGTGAGATGAGCCCTGCTGAGATGCTGCTGGAGCCAGGTCCTGCCCACACCGCGTCCCCACGTCCCCAATGCCTCCTGTGGTGGGGGTAGGACCGGGAACCGAGCATCCATCCGCCCCCTGCAGCAATGCCAAGCGAAGCCACAAGTAAAAATCCCTCCCGACGGTGCTTTTTGGCCAAACTTTGATTTTCCTCGCCCGCGCCAGTAAACAAGGC